TATCCATATTTTATCCCATGTTATCTTTTGGCCCATAAATCGATGGTAAAAATCTGGAAACATCTGGAAAGATCATCAGCATCCCATCCCGAGGACGTGTTGTCTCAAGATCTTCACTCGGACGTCTTTGGCCGCCAGGGTATGGCGGTGTCCTTGGCTCCGTGTCCTGAAGGCCTGAGGGGGGGGAACATGTATGGATGATATACATGTATATTGTATATATATATATATATACATATATATATATATAAATATACATATATATATATATACATACGGATTATGGAATATCTATGGGGAATTGTGAATATCTATGGAATTATCTGTGGAATTATCTATTGAATTATCTATGGAATTATTATCTATGGACTTTCTATGGATTATCTAACGATGAGTATATCAATACGAACAAATTGAATAGATATGTACTTCATATGACATATCTATCCAGTTGATATTTCGGGAGCGATTCGGAGCGGTTGGGGTATCTCTAAACTCTATCCATTTTTTATGGGAGCCAGTTGGAACTACACTCGTCAAGTGCTTGACGTCCAACACACGGAGGTGGGTTGTATAGATGAACGTGACAGCACAGAACCATGACCATCTTAGAATAGTACTGAGCTTAGCCAAACAATGAACTGACCATACTGTTGGCTATCAATGATTCCACATGATTCCATATTAGAGAGGATGGGCAGAACCATCACAAGGATTGCTAAGAGGAGACCATGTCTGTCAGTCAGTACAGGTATTTCCCATGTTTGTGTTGGAAATCTACATCGTGATCCAATCAGAGACCCAGTTGCTAGCTAGAACGGCCCATAACGGCCTTTTTTTTGTTTTTAGATTTGCACATTTTTTTTGGTGGTATCCCCCACGATACGATGCCGACAGCACCAGGATTTGAGTGGCATGATTTCACGTAACATTAAGGCAGTCTGCCTTGGGGTTTAGGGTGACATAAATACATATATAAATACCAACCTGAAGCGGCATTTCCCCCAACAAAAAGATTTGAAACAGATTTCAAACCAGTTACCCTCTGGTAATTTAACATAGCTACTAGTATGGAAAGATCCACCATTTTCAATGGGAAAATCCACTATTTCGACTGGGCCATTTTCAATAGCTACGTTAGTCATTACCAGAGGGTAAAACGCGATTGAAAATCCAACATCTTCCAAGCAAGCTGGGGACAGGTCATGCGGGCCCATTCTGCGCATCCTGTGCCATTGGGCAATGGGGTAGCTGGGTGATGGCGATGTGGTGATGTGGTTTGAGGAATGTGACCCATATTTTACCCATGGATTTCGATAAAAATGACAAGAATGGATACAATATGATACAATCAAGCTAATCCTAGGAAGAAAGTGGGATAAGATTGTGGATCGGCAGAATCTACTGGGATGTGCCCCGCAAACAGGTGAGTTGGTAAAGATAGCCATAGAACGATTGAGTTTATGGTCGAAATATCTATACTATGGTTAGATGGCAGATGGGGCTATAAACAAAATTATAGCTGGGGAAGCCGGGGCTATAAACAAAATTATAGCTGGGGAGGCCGTCCTGTAAAATTTGAGACGAGCTTTGTTTGGCCAGCTAATGCTTTAATTATTTTGTGCTCGAAATGGCTTCGAAAGGACTGAGATGGTTTTTTTCATGGGCATCCAATAGCTTCCAATAGTCATGTAATTGGCGATTTTGGGGCTACGGGATGATCCAACTTCACCAACGTCCCATCGGAGTATCAAGATCCCAGTACCGGGAAATTTATATCGAGTCCCGACCCGCCATAACCTGAATATTTCAGAACATTTTGGGGGGTAAAGCAGTGCTTGATGGTTTGAGACATGTTCAAATTGGGTCATGGCATGGAAATGTAAGGAGGAACAGTAACCGAAATTGGCACTTCTTGCATTTGGCACCCGAGGGTCAAGATTGAGTTTGTGACCCATTCGGATACGTGCAGATTCTTGGTGGGTACATCAACTTTCCTATCTCCATTTCTTTCTCTTTATGTACGCATGCACTTACTTATATATATATATATATATGCTATATGCTTTAACTCTATATGCACAACAAACATATACAGAAATATGCATTGAATTCAAAATGTGTATATATATATATATGCAGGATATGTGTAAATAATTGCAGTTATTCTGTGTATATTATCTAATGGTTGTATTGTGCAAGTACTGACTTACACGTATGTACACAGAATTCCCTTGGCTGCACGATAGTTTACATGTACAGTTTATATCAATATGCGCATCATAATTTACATATATCATATCATATTATATCATATCGTATCGTATCGTATCGTATCATATCATATCTATAATACCGGGATGATTTGGGAGAAATGGGAGAACATCCACAGGAAACAATTGCGTTTTTCCCATCCATCTGGGTTCCATCCAGATTCGCCTACCTACTCCCGAGGCAGCGGCCATGGCCATGGGCATTGCCACCACTGTGACAACAAACCCAAGACGCCCAATGCTGTCTATGCCAAAATGGCTTGGCCCAACAGCAGCTGTCCCTTCCACTGTGTTCCAGGCGACCTCAAGGGCGCCGCCCCCAAAAAGGGGGCCTTGTTGAGGGCCTTGGGTGGCAGAGAATTTAAGGCATGGAGAGCATGGAGAAAGGTCATGCCCCCGACTTTCCAAGAATAGCAATATGTCTTCCAATCTAAGGGTAGTAGTCATGGAATGTGTCGTTTGAGTGGCTGAAACGTGAGGGGAATACCAAGCATCTGCACAAAAATGGATCCAACCTAGGTTGGTGGAAATGCGGAATTTGGGATGGTGTTTGGTTTAGTTCTTTTGTTCTCCCTCCTCAACTGGGAATGCCGCCTCCGGAATGGTTTTGCTTAGCAGTGGCACTGCTGCAGGTGTGCCGGAAGTCAAAATGAACCCCAACTGCCTCAGTCACTTGCCTGTGGCATCCTGTGGCAAAGAGACATGTTTTGAAGGTTCGCCGATGTACGGCCTCCAAAATGCGCCAGGTGATGTTTTGTCATGTTTTATCGAATCTTTATATTTCTTAGTCTTGATCCGTCCTGGTTGAGGCCCTTTAGTCCCGTTTTCGATGCGTGCATTTGACCACCGTTGATTGTATGTCGTGAACTTCTTTGCCTTCATGCCGCAAAATCCAAATTCCACATGTTTGGATCAATTTCTTCCAGGACATAAACGGAGATGGTACGCATTGTATAATATATACGATAATAATTATAACCAATATACACATATATATATAAATACACACATTACCCTTGAACCCTGTAGTGTTGCTCAAGGCCATCCGCTTTTTCTCAGCCTCTTTGATGTGGCCTTAAGGCAACTTTGACTTCGCCATGGGATTTTTTGGTGGAAAGCTGGGCTTCAAAATCACCCTGGCGCTTCCCATCACCGTGACCCGCTGAAAATGGTGAGCCCTCGGCCAAGGGTGCCGCGGTGCCTGGCTCTTTTGAGTCACATTGCTGTTTGGTCACCAATGGGCCCACAATTTATAATATGACCAATATTGAGACATATTGAGACCCAGAGAGAGAGAGAGATATTTATATATATACACATACAGTAGACGTGTATATTAATATTTATCCATTTATATCTATTTCGGAGGTTGATCATTGTGACTCATCCTCACTTCGTGGGATACTTTTGAAGGTTTGGACAGGTGACGGTCTTGTGGCGACAGTTCATCAGGTGTTTGAAGTTTTGTGAAAGACGTTGCAGGCACTTGGAATGTCTTGGAGCGTATCACCCACAACCACACCGCAATACATGTTGGTAGAACCATAACAAGTTCATTATGAACACATATAAAACAAACTTCTTTCTGGTCTATTCTGACCCAGCCGGTCAGGTATTATATACTGTAATATGGATGTGATTACACAAGTCCACCATCCCAATCATTATCACAACAAAATCATAACCGACCATACATTTCCAGAATTCGTTGAAGTAAAAGGAACAGTCTTCCTCCAGTTTGCACTAAAGAAATCCATTGAATTTAAGATGCGCCAAGATCATGTGGCAGGTTGTCCCTTCGACATCCGAAAAAACCGAGCTGTGTCGCTGTGTTTTCAGATTTTCTTCATCATTCGCCTGGTTCATCGGCTACGACGTCCACTGAGCTGCACTGGTGGCAGTGGAAAGGCCAAGGGACAACCAAAGATGAACGGATCTGGCAAATTACGGGGGTTACTGGGTTACCCTCCAGTAAATTAACATAGACCCTGAAAATAGATGAACATAGTCTATTTTTAGTGGAAACTAATCTTCAACCCCCTTTTTTTGGCAGGGTCTATCTATGGAAATTTTGGGGGATTTATATCCAAAAAGAAACATGAAGATTGAACCAAAAGGGTTGGAAACTATGGAAAATTAGGATCCACCCATACTGAACCATCAGACGGATGCAGTTTTCGTCGAGATCTCCTGCTCCACAACGCAACAACGCTTTATATGAGGCCCTTGCTATAATGCAAGCGGCTATACTGCAACTAGCCATATGGCCATATATAGACTGTAACTGTATTTCAAAACTCTATATAGTGAAGACCTCAAATGAAGGGGATCTCATATATCAAAACAAAAGATGCAATTTTGCAAACCCAAAATATAAACCATCCTCAATTGTACCGGAAATAGGATGAAATAGGTTGTTATCAACCATGAAAAACTTGCTTCATGAGGGTTGCCACGGAACAGATCCTAGAGATCTAGTTTTTTCACATGGCCTGCGGGTTATATCCCAACTTGTTGGGAGGTGATTGCCACAGTTGTACCTATTGATGGGCCCCCAACTGCACCCCTTTGGACCCAGGAATTCTGTTTGATGCAGCTTCGCAGCCCGAGGAAAGAGAAGGACTCGCCCATCATGTGGCCGCTGGCAGTTTCCACGCGAGGAGTTGCAACTGGGAACGACATGGCGGGCATGGTGTCCATGCAGAAAACTTGGTTTAGTACAGAAGACCTCGAAAAATGGGGGTCCAATATTGGACATATTTTGGTTTTGGGGTGAGATGGGCAGTGAGATGATTTTCACACATTTTCCGATACCCTCTGGTAATTTGTTACATAGCCATGGTATAGATGGCCCATAGAAATAGATGGTTTACCTAGCTATAAAATGGTGGATCTTTCCATGGCCAACTGTTAGTCATAGCCAGATGGTATAATCCCCTTTAAGTATGGTTATATATCATATATCACCAGTTATAAATGGATTATAATCCCCTAAAAACTATAGATATATCATAATAGATATTAATCATATCACCAATAAACCATAGTTATTGGACATTTCCAAACCATCAGCAAACTTTTGGGGGAATGGCCTTGGGCTTGTATGGCTTGGTGTTTGGCCTTGGCACGGCGCCTTAAAATTCCAAGGCCTTGTCATGTGGCGCGGATCTACCTGCTGGGCAACAACTCTGCGCCACTCGATTGAGAAAATGAGAGTTTCTCCTGCACTAAAAACTTGATAGTGATATGTGACATCTATAGTTAATGGGATTATAATCCATTTATACCTGGTGATATGATATAACCATAGTTAAAGAAGATTATACCATCATGAGATTCATGAGGATTCAAAGGTGCCCAAGGCAGCAATCAGCAAAACCTAGCAAAACCTGGAACATGAGAATATATGAGAATCTACTGAATCTACTCGAATTATTTCAAGTAGAAACTATGACTAATGAAAAAGCCAAAATTGAAAACACATTCTTCAGTCCAGAATTCCATGGTTGATTTGGATTTTGTAAATATATTGGGGCTTATTCCATGGGGTTTCCGACTGTTGAATATTGTAAATTTACAGATGATACCTTTCCAGGTGACTGGTTGGGGGATCCCAATGAGGTGATCAACTCCCTTTTTGTTGGCTAACCCCCAATTGTTTCTTCGTCGAAGTCACTGGGTCCTCCAAGTCTTGTGTGTTTTTGTTGCTTCTATGAAATTCTTTGGCAGAACCATGAGAAAAAACACTGAAACATCATGAAACGTCATTGATCATCATGAAACATCTTGAGAAATCCTGATGCACCGTGAAATACCGTGAAATATCAAGAACCATCGTGATCGAAACATCGTCGAAACATGAGGAAGCACAAAACATCACGAAACATCACGACACATCAGGAAACATCAGGAAACATCGGGAAACATCGGGAAACATCATGAAACATCATGAAACATGATGAAACATCATGAACCATCATGAATCATGAACCAACATGAACCATCATGAACCTTCATGAATCATTAAACATCATGAACCATCATGAAACATCATGAAACATCATGAAACATCATGAAACATCATGAATCATCATGAACCAACATGAAACATCATGAACCAACATGAAACATCATGAACCACCATGAATCATGACCAACATGAACCATCATGAAACATCATGAAGCATCATGACACATCATGAATCATGAAACATCATGAACCTTCATGAATCATGAACCAACATGAAACATCATGAAACATCATGAACCATCATGAAACATCATGAACCATCATAAAACATCATGAAACATCATGAAACGCCATGAAGCATCATGAAACATCATGAAACATCATGAACTAACATGAACCATCATGAAACATCATGAAACATCATGAAACATCATGAACCATCATGAAACATCATGAAACATCATGAAACATCATGAACCACCATGAACCATCATGAACCATCATGAGTCATCATGAAACATCATGAAACATCATGAAGCATGAACCAACATGAAACATCATGAAACATCATGAATCATGAGCCAACATGAAACATCATGAACCATGAATGATGAACCATCATGAACCATCATGAACCATCATGAAACATCATGAACCATCATGAAACATCATGAAACATGAAACATCATGAAACATCATGAATCATGAGCCAACATGAAACATCATGAAACATCATGAAACATCATGAAACATCATGAAACGTCATGAAACATCATGAACCATCATGAACCATCATGAAACATCATGAATCATGAACCAAGGTGAAACATCATGAACCACCATGAATCATGAACCAACATGAACCATTATGAAACATCATGAACCATCATGAAACATCATGAATCATGAAACATCATGAAACATCATGGAACATCATGAAACATCATGAAACATCATGAAACATCATGAAACATCATGAAACATCATGAACCATCATGAAGCATTATGAATCATGAACCAAGGTGAAACATCATGAACCACCATGAATCATGAACCAACATGAACCATTATGAAACATCATGAACCATCATGAAACATGATAAAACATCATGAAACATCATGAAACATCATGAAACATCGTGAAACATCATGAAACATCATGAACCATCATGACACATCATGAAACATCATGAAACATCATGAAACATCATGAAACATCATGCCACGTTCAATTAATTTTAGCATTTTTTTATGGCTGGGATTCCCAGCGTCACCTGGGACCGAGGGGCTCCCCTTGGACTTTGCCGGAGCGCGGCCCGTTGCACGACGACGCCATGGTGCAGGAAATGCTGGGAGAGGACGAGTGGCAAGCGCTTGGGGAGACCCTGCAGAAGCTGGGCACAGGTGGAAAATTCACCATTTTTTAGAGGTAACGCATCAGGGTTTCCCAGCCATCCACGGTAGGTAGAACAATGTAGAACATGAAACTAAATGAACCCTCATTGATATATGAAATTACCCTTAAGGGATTATATAGGTTAGGATAGTTTTTCACTTCCCTAAACTGGTGATTTAACCATCAATGGCGATAGAATGGGATTTTTTGGGGGGGATAAGATGGGTATAAACCAATACCAACCTCTGGCAGTGCACGATTTTTTTCGATCATATTTGGGATGATAAAATCGTTTGGGATGGGTTTTTCAGCCACTGAAGCCACGAACCAATCGCTAAGAGCTTCGTGTTTATCACGGTGAAGATGTGGACATTTATCAGACAAGCTCCTGGTTGATGATCTCAACTGATGCCGTCCATTGAAGTGGCTTAACTAGCTACAGTTAGGCTTAAAGGCTTACTTTCCCAGGCTATTTTGGTCATCAGTTCCCTCAGAATCATGGTGACTTTCCGGTTTAGCTACATTGGTTGGCGAAATCCTAATATATGTGTTTCTTGATCATTTTTCCATTTACCCTCCAAGAAACTAACATAGATGTGGAAAACCCACCATGAATATAGATTATTTTCGGAGCGGGTTTCTTTTGCTGCTTCCTTCTTTCCGAACTGATTTCCCCATGGGTTTCCACATTTTTGTTTTGGAGCAGTCACCCCAGGGTAAATTGCCCATTTCGTTCTCTGAGGAACCCCCTGAAGAGCCTTGGCCGTGAAATCGGCATGTGTTTGTGCAACAATGGCGTGATGAACGAACCGTTTTTTTTCAAAGGGAAACTGGTGATTATTACTATATATATATAATATACATACATATTGCAACCTGCAAGCTGTCCATTTTTTTTTGCAGCCTTTGTGGTGTCCTTGCAAATGTTGAGAGATGTGCACAGATGAAGCATGAACCTTCGCAGTTTCTCTTTAAGAACTTCGACGCTCAACGTTTCCTGAGGGTGCTGGTTTCTGATGACTCCATTCGTTTGATATAATATGGCTTATGTATGCTTATGTTCACTTATTATTGTTCGCAAATGTGAAGTCACGAAAAAAATCTACAATGTGCCAGCTCGTCCAGGTCCTCAGCCCTAGAGGTTATCATTTCCCTCTGGGTTTTCCGATCGAGAATCACCCGGAACTACTGAGATAGCACTGAGATGATGATTGAAGGGTAGTAAATGGTGAATCATCAGGCATAATCCATCATAATCCCCTGCAAATTCACCAGATATCCATAGTTGTTGAATAAATGTCTGCATCTTGAGGCGAATCGGCATGACTATAGTACCGTTTTTGACGATTAAACAATCTCAAATGGGTTCATGGCCAAAGTTTGAGTTTGGTCGGTGAATTTGCCCCCCCCATTTTGCCAAGCTTCAGTTGATGTCAGTTGGCTCTTCACAAGAAAGTGATATTTCCTCTGGGTTACTATATATATATATAACAAAAATACAGCTTGAGATAACCCCCCAAACAAAAATAGAAGGGCATATATTCCGACTAAAATTAGATACGCGTCCATCTTTTTCTGGGGGGTTTCCAATCCCATCCGCCAGAAAAAAAACATGCCCTACATCCACCATGGTTTCTGGGGTGGTGTTTAAAAGATTAGTATAGTTGATGGAATTCACCATCTCTTATCAACCATTATTTGTATCAAGTATTGTTGTTATTGTTATTTCTATGTTATGGTTATCCCATACTCATACTTGTTTATTTGTGTAATCAAGTATAATAATGCGATATGATGTTATTACTATTTTATTATTTGTCTCAAGTATTATTATCTGGTTGGTGGTTTGGAACATTTTTATTTTCCCATATAATCATCATCCCAACTGACGAACTCCATGATTCTGCAGAGGGGTAGGTCAACCACCAACTAGTTATTATCATTAACCATACATTTCCATAGCCCCAATCCTTTCACCAGGATTGCCCCCTGGGAGTCCTGGTGGTTGCTGCATCTCTCGCCGTGGCTGGAGCTATTGCTGCTGCGGCGGCGCTTGGGCCGTGCCAAGCGTGCGCAGCGAGCGGTGCTGCTGGCGGCGGAGAGTTTGAAGGATGGGGGGGATGGGGAGGGTATGGGTCCACGGGTTATTTTTCAGCCCACAAGTTGGGGTTTAAGATCTTATAACTATGGTTGTATATCTAGTTAAAGCCCCACAGTTATAGTTAACCTCCCAAATAATGATCTAGAAGTATGGTTATATCCACTTGAAACTAGAACTGCAACTGTGATGGTGGGATGGGAGGCAGCTGCAGTTACAAGAGGCTACGTTTGACGTACCCTCTGTCATCAAACGTGGCTGGAACATATCGGAACGAAATTGAGGGTTTAGTGGTGAAATCATATATATATATATATATTTACAATAATATATAAATATATGTATATATTTATAATAATAATAATAATAATATATATATATATACTATAAAACACACATATATATACTATATAAATATATAAATATAATATACATATAAATGAGTGATTTTCCATTGCTATGTTTGATTATCAGAGGGCTTACGGCATAATTTCTGCCTTTTGAGGCTGTTCTGCCTTTTGTTGTTAAAAGGCGACTTTACCCGACCACTGGCGACTTTTGCGATTTCAAGTAATTAGGGCCACCTTTTTGATGGTGGCAGAAATCTCTCCATGTATCTCAATGTTTTCTAGGCTAAATGTATATACCAATCCAAAGATAGGGCAATCTTTTCACCAAATTCCCTCAGATCTATGGGTGAAACTGGGTTTACTTGTTTGAAAAACTTCGCCAAACTGCAAAGCAACCGTTTGACAACAAAACAGGGCAGTAGCACAGCCCACACTTTCTTGCCTGGAATCCTTAGTTTCCCATATCTTTCATTTTGGGCTGTGGCCAATGCAGGGCATTAGGTCCAGGCATGGTCATTTCGATCTCTCCCGCAAGAATGCGAAAACTAGTTGGAATACATTTGAATTGGGTTTTGCTGTCTGGAAGTTTGTAACCCTCAAAAGAAAAACCGGAGCAGGCGACTTTTCCCGACCCAGCGGCGACTTTTCGCGACTTAAAGGCGACTTTACGCGACCAACGTTTTTTATGCATTCTTTCCCAGCTGAGGATGGGCACATGAATTAGTTTGGGTAAAACGAAAACTCTACTGGGATGGCTTGGCAAAACCAAGAAATGCGTTGGGATAGTTCGTACAAGCAAAGAAACTTGTTGGGATAATTATTGGTTAAACTTAAACTACTTAAACCAAAAAATGTGGTGGGATAGTTTGGGCAAACCAAGGCATATATGAAAATGTATTTAGGTAATTTGGGTAAATCAAAGCATGTCTAGTGGAGTAATTTGGTTAGGGCAGTTTCGGTTTTATGATTTTCCGACAGGCGATTCTGAAGACAAAAGGCGATTCTTAAAAAATCGAGCAGAAATTTCTGCTGTTGAGTAAAAGAGCAAACAAAACGCATACCTAAAAGATCCAGGTATATGTATATCTCCGCGTGTGTGCGTGTGTCTGTCCTTAGAAAAGTGCACATACGTGGATGGATGTATGGATGGATGGATGGACGAATGGATGGATGAATAGATGGACGGACGGATGGACGGACGGATTCGCTTAGAATCTTGGAATTACAAGTTGGGAAAGCCTAGGTTAGACTAGGTAAAGATATCGAATGATGTAGAGATAATTTTGGATATAGAGGACGCAGTTAAACAAACGACCGGCCCAACAACTTGGCCACTCTTGAGGCTTATCATTCACCAAAATTGGTGTGAATGAACTGGGCTTACCATGGCTTGCTACTTCAATCGATACGAGTGTGGGTGTTGGCTTCATTGATGTTTAGCCAGCTTTCTTCGTCATGGAGATATTAGATTGGAACACATTTATCTATAGATACAATTTCTAAAACTGGTTGGTGGTTTGGAACATTTTTTATTTTTCCATTCAGTTGGAAATAATAATCCCAACTGACGAACTCATATTTTTCAGAGGGGTTGGGCCCAACCACCAACCAGAACACTTTCCAACATATTTTGATCTAGGACTAGCCATGACCATGGGTCCCGTGGCTTCATGGTCCTCCTTCGCCGGTAGGACATGGAAGGGAAACCGTCCATGAAATTTGGCTGCGATGAGTCTGCGACGACGGGCGCCTCGGCCAAGCGAAACCAGTCTCTTCTTCGTCAGTTTGCGACATAGAAAATGGCCCATGATGGCCCATGTAGATCCATTTAGTTCGTTGATTTACCGTTCTTAAAGATGGTGAATTTCCACAGCGAACTGTTAGTTTACCAGAGAGTAGTTCAGTCTGCAAATTTCATATCATATCCAACAATACAGTAGCCAATCAATTCTTAATAGCCAACTTAATGGTCAAGAAAAAGTTGAGTTGAACGTAATTACCATCAGCTGCATAGTTCAACCAAATACCAAATCAACTGAAGCAAATGATTATTTCTAGTGGCCATTTAGATGGGGAGATTGACCAACAACCTGTTAGACTGTTAGCAGGGTTTCCAACGTTCGCTATGCAAATTGACAAACCTATTCTTGGGAGAGGTTGATTATCTCAACTAGCTGGGACTAGTAGTCAGCTTGTTCTTCTGGTAAAATCTTGGTTCGATTGGATTTTGGCAATGGTTTGAACCATGACCATGCCATAAAGTTGAAGTTTTTTTCCCCCAAACGCCCCATCAAACAAGTTCCCTTGGAAAGGGAGCAAGGTCAGCTGCGTTTCAATCAGTCTCCACCCTGGCTCTCCAAAAAAAAAATCTCTATTGAGTGGGCTATCTGCACCGGAAATCATCGGAAATCCCATTCGAAGAGGTAACAACTTGCAGCAACCCCCTTATCTTATGTGGTAAAGACCACAGGTTTCAATCATACTGTGGATGGAAGAAATCCTGCACCAGTTGGGAACTATTACTGTAGGTACCTATGAAACACTGTAAATAATGGGGCTATAATGGGAAAAGCCATTTACCAACTGGTGCAGGATTTCTTCCATCCACAATATCAACCATTTTCACCAAAGAAATTCCATCAATCCACTGAAGCATCCGTGTCAACGAGGCTATTTGGACATCTTCGACTTTGGGCGATCGGCGTTGGACTGGGCCCCTCGGAATTTGAAGGAAGAAGAGCAGCTTCTCTTGGCACAAGGTGCCGGAGATCGGGAGCTTCACCACCTTAGTGGTGGAGTTGAACCATCTAAAATGGGGATGCGATTGGTATCTATCTATCTGTCGATCTGTCTGTCTGTCTGTCTATCTGTCTATCTATCTGTCTACCTGTCTATTTGTCTATCTGTCTCTCTGTCTGTCTCTCTGTCTATCTATCTATCTGTCTGTCTGTCTGTCTATCTATCTTATCTAATCTAAGCTAATCTAATCTAATCTAATCTAATCTTATCCTATCTTATCCTATCTTATCTTATCTCATCTCATCTCATCTCATCTCATCTATCTATCTATCTATCTATCTGTCTGTCTGTCTGTCTGTCTGTCTCTGGCTATCTGTCTATCTGCCTATCTGTCTGTCTCTCTGTCTCTCTGTCTATCTGTCTATCTATCTGTCTGTCTGTCTATCTGTCTATCTGTGTATCTGTCTATCTATCTGTCTATCTATCTATCTATCTATCTATCTATCTATCTAATCTATCTAATCTATCTAATCTATCTAATCTATCTAATCTATCTAATCTATCTAATCTATCTAATCTATCTAATCTATCTTATCAAGCTAATCAATCAATCAATCTATCTATCTAATCTATCTTATCTATCTTATCTACCTTATCTACCTTATCTACGTTATCTATCTTATCTATCTTATCAATCTTATCTATCTAATCTATCTAATCTATCTAATCTAATCTAATCTTATCTTATCTATCTTATCGATCTTATCGATCTCGTCGATCTCATCTGTCTTATCTGTCTTATCTGTCTTATCTTCCTTATCTATCCTATTTATCTTATCTATCTTATCTATCTTATCTATCTTATCTATCTTATCTATCTTATCTATCTTATCTATCTTATCTATCTTATCTATCTTATCTGTCTTATCTATCTTATCTATCTTATCTATCCTATCTATCTTATCTATCTTATCTATCTTATCTATCTTATCTATCTTATCTATCGTATCTATCTTATCTATCCTGTCTATCCTATCTATCCTATCTATCCTATCTATCCTATCTATCCTATCTTTTCTTATCTTATCTACTCTTATCTAATTTAATCTAATCTAATCTAGTCTAATCTAACCTAATCTAATCCTATCTATCTATCTATTTATCTATTTATCTATCGTATCTATCCTATCTATCTAGCTACCTATCCTACCTACCTTATCTACGTTATCTATCTTATCTACCTTATCTATCTTATCTATCTTATCTATCTTATATATCTTATCAATCTAATCTATCTAATCTATCTAATCTATCTAATCTATCTAATCTATCTAATCTATCTAATCTATCTAATCTATCTAATCTATTCTATCTATCTTATCTATCTTATCTATCCTATCTATCCTATCTATCTCGTCTATCTAATCTATCTATCTATCTTATCTTATCCTTTCTATTTTATCTTATCCTATCTATCTTATCCTATCTTATCTATCTTATCTATCTTATCTATCTTATCCTATCTATCTATCTTATCCTATCTATCTATCTTATCCTATCTATCTATCTTATCCTATCTATCCTATCTATCCTATCTATCCTATCTATCGTATCTATCCTATCTATCCTATCTATCCTATCTATCCTATCTATCTATCTATCGATCTATCGATCTATAGATCTATCGATCTATCGATCTATCGATCTATCGATCTATCGATCTATCGATCTATCGATCTACCTATCTATCTATCTATCTTATCTACCTATCTATCTATCTATCTATCTATCTATCTTATCTACCTATCTATCTATCTACCTATCTATCTAGCTACCTATCTATCTACCTATCTAGCTATCTATCTAGCTATCTACCAAGCTATCTATCTATCTATCTCTATCTATCTCTATCTATCTCTATCTATCTCTATCTATCTCTATCTATCTCTATCTATCTCTATCTATCTATCTATCTATCTCTATCTATCTCTATCTATCTCTATCTATCTCTATCTATCTCTATCTATCTCTATCTATCTCTATCTATCTCTATCTATCTCTATCTATCTCTATCTATCTCTATCTATCTCTATCTATCTATGTATCTATCTACCTATCTACCTACCTACCTATCTATCTATCTAGCTATCTATCTATCTACTTATCTATCTATCTGTCTATCTATCTATTTATCTATCTATCAATCAATCTATCAATCTATCAATCTATCAATCTATCAATCTACCTATCTATCTATCTATCTATCTTTCTATCTATCTATCTATCTATCTATCCATCCTATCTATCCTATCTATCCTATCTATCCTATCTATCCTATCTTTCTTATCTATCCTATCTATCCTGTCTGTCCTGTCTATCCTATCTATCTTATCTATCTTATCTATTTCTTATCTATTTCTTATCTATTTCTTATCTATTTCTTATCTATTTCTTATCAATTTCTTATCTATTTCTAATCTATTTCTTATCTATCTTATCTACCTTATCTACCTTATCTATCTTATCTATCTTATATATCTTATCAATCTTATCTATCTAATCTATCTAATCTATCTAATCTATCTAATCTAATCTTATCTTATCTTATCTATCTTATCGATCTTATCTATCCTATCTATCCTATCTATCTTATCTATCTTATCTATCTTATCTATCTTATCTATCTTATCAATCTTATCTATCTAATCTATCTAATCTATCTAATCTATCTAATCTAATCTTATCTTATCTTATCTATCTTATCGATCTTATCTATCCTATCTATCCTATCTATCTTATCTATCTTATCTATCTTATCTATCTTATCTATCTTATCTATCTTATCTATCTTATCTATCTTATCTATCTTCTATCTTATCTATCTTACCTATCTTACCTATCTTATCTATCTTATCTATCTTATCTACCTTATCTACCCTATCTATCTTATCTATATTATCTATCTTATCTATCTTATCTTATCTACAGTATCTTATCTATCTTCTATATCTTATCTATCTTATCTATCTTATCTATCTTATCTATCTTATCAGTCTTATCTATCTTATCTCTCTTATCTCTCTTATCTATCTTATCTATCTTATCTATCTATCTATCTATCTATCTATATATTTATCTATCTATCTATCTATCTATCTATCTATCTATTTAGCTATCTATCTATCTATCTATCTATTTAGCTATCTATCTATTTAGCTAGCTATCTATCTATCTATCTATTTATCTATCTATCTATCTATCTACCTACATTTGGGCGATTTCTTGGGTGAAATTGTGAGTGAATGTTGGGCAAATATTCCATACATGGAGCACTGGGGAATGATGGTGAATGGATTTACCATGGTGAAAAGGGGTAGTGTAGTGGGAAAGAGGGTAATGCTGAGTCAATCTACCATGTATGGTCATTTTTTTGCTGGGCATATCACAAAATGGACACTCACATGTTTTCCAAAAAGACGAGTTGGTGCGGGTCTGGCAGCATGATACTCCACAAGTTGCAATCATGGGAATGTCCATTATGAAGATCGGCAGCATCACTTAACTCTAGCTTCCAAAGAACTAGATTCGGAGAGATGGATCCATGGATTTGTTTAAGGGAAAATCTTAATCGGAAACCATGGATATTCCCATGAAAGATGGGGTCTCCGGTAGGTTTTTCCCGGGTGATTTCTTACCCGCAGCTCATTGGGGGTGTCTTGGGAGGTGCCGGCACTTGGGCTCGACCCTATGAGCTGAACATCGCAGATCCCCTGCTGCTGGGAGTGGCGCAGAGCCAAGGGAGTCAGGGGCCCATTGGCACTCAGATGATCTACAGCCTGGTCTGTGCCTGGATTGGGGATGTCATGATACCCATGGGATGTCTTTTGGAGCTGCACAGAGTGAATATTTAAGGTCTCTGAACCATGCTGAACCGACCAAAGTCTTTGGTGTTTCGACTTTTCCGATGGTGAATGTGCTGTTTTTCGAGGAAAATGCGGAAAGTGCTGTGAATGTGCCCATCGCGATTAATAAGTGGTCAACACTATTGCAAACTTTTGTATAGAAGGGATTGCCCAAGAAACTGGGGACTTGCGACCACACACACACATATATATATAATATTATATCATGGGTTTATCGCAGTTGTGATTGGGTAAACCAACCAGGGTCACAACATGTCACAACCACTTCTGCTGCCACTATTTTCTTACCTCCCATCATTCATTATATAGTCATTAGCGTTATCCACCAATGGTCACGTCCCCTGTGGGATGTGCATCCCAAAAAGTCACTAGAGCGGAGCGCCATCAGAGTTGTGGCACCATTTCCGGGATGTCCAGGGCTGAATTGATCGGAGATACTGGTTTCTTGTCTTGTTATTTCCCACCTATCATCCCCAGTTGACCAATTACACATCCAAGTAGGATATGCCATACTACATATAATAATATATATATATATATATACATGTGCATATAATATGCGTTTAATATATCAGCCTCAGCAGCAACCTCATGTTGATTGATGTTTCCTTGATCCTTCTGATGGTTAAATCTGACATGATTCTGCCGTAATTTGGCGGCCCTGTTTCACTGGGCCCGGCTGCACCCTCACCGGGCTTGTCACTCATTGGATTTCTTGAAGATGATTAGCTTGTTGTAAACTAATAGTTTGCTATCAAAGCTTGCCTAGTTCGTTGATTTACCTATTAGAGATTGTGATTTTCCATAGTTTTTCGTTAGTTTACTAGAGGGCAATTTTCACGTTTTCCCATTTGAGAAATCCAATTTGAGAAATCCAATTTTTATCTATTTCTTGGGTGGATTATTTATTGTATCATATTCTTGGATTAATTCCCTCATTGTTTTCAAGAGTTAGATCCAGCTGTCCCATTTTATTTGGATATTTGATCATTTCAATGGACTTCCCATAAACATTTCATGTCCATACATGTCCTCACTTTTCTCAATGGTTCCTCCATCCCTCAAGAATACAGATACAGTTATATAACTATGTATGTACAGTAATAATAGTATATATATATATATCATAGTAAGAGCAATAATAACAAAATACTAGTAGTAACACTACTTCAAAATAACAATCCATCCTAACAATACCATCTATATCATCAAAAAAAATCCACAATATATCCAGGAATGATTTCCATCTCCCCATGGGTCCCCCTGAGGTGCCTTCAACCTCTTCAGCCGCCTGGTGCCCTCTGCGGAGCTGCTGGACGTCCTCTGGGGCGACGAAGCGCCCGCCTTTGCGGTGCTGCAACGGGAGGCGCCTTTTGTACAACGGCTTCCCACAACGGGAGCCACGGGGGGTCACCGGGGGGAGTGGAAAAAATGGGGAATTTATACGTTTTTTATGGATATTCTATGGATATTTATGGATATTTATGGCGTAGAATTGCAAGTGCTATGAGTTTTAGGAGCTACAACCCTGGCAGAAGAAACGGAGCTACAACCAGAGCTCTCCAAACACTATATAATGGATAGTGATATAGATATTGTCCGGGAAAACCACTACTGACCTGTGTAACACATTGGAATTCATGAATAAAAACAATGGATGGAACTTGGGTTTTCATCATGTTTTCTTAGTTTTGGGTCAACCAGGAGTTGGTCGGTTAAAGGCTAAGACCAGCCAAGAATGAAGTTGTTTGTGGGGGCAAGTCAGGTTCGCCATACGGAAAAAAATCAGGATTTGGAGAGGTTCGGGCGATGCAGCCCCATACCTGGCCTCAAAAAAACATGCTTCTCCTGTCTGTAGAAGATCATTCTCGTCGACACGGCATTTTCGTAAGTCCATGCGTAATCGTGGACGGTCTCGGGGATCGTTGGGAACCGTCCAATGTGATGGCCCTAAGTTCATTACGTATAGTATGCAAGTATACAAACTTTAAACATATTTGATATATTGTTTCCCCAAGGATGGTTGGGGACTGGCCCAAAATATAATACTGAATCCTGAAAGGGATGTCAAAAACTGTGGTCCACCAAAGGGTATGGAAGGTGAACATCGCACCATGTGGCTGGGGGTCAGGACTTATTTACAAGAGATAATATCATAATTATATAGATATATAATATTTTATATACACTAATAATAAAATATAATGTAATATAATGATATATATATAAGTATATGCATTGGGCAGGTGAACGTCCAAACTTGATCTGCTTTCGAGATATGAGTGGTTCCACGAGGTTTCCGACGGAGTCACCGGTTACTCGCTTTAAATCTAAGGTTGACCATGGAAGTGAGGGGAAAAATCGGATTTACCATGGAAGTGAAGGGAAAATCGGATGTACCATGGACTTACAGTATATACAAGTGTTATCCAATATTATGCCAATGTTATCCAAAAATTCACCCAAAATTCGCCAAAATTTCACCCAGAGTTTCCACAACATGTCCCCAACAATTTCCAAGATTTCCCAACAGTTCAGAGGTGAAGAACCTTATCAAATCTAATTTCCAGGTGGAGCTAAGCGCTCGACGCTTGAGTCTTCAAGCAGCCTCTCGGCGAGAGAAGTTGTTTTTTTTTTAGGCGAAGATGTCGCTAGGGTCGATGGGGTTTATGAGATGTTTATGGAACATATATCACGATGTATCAAACTAGTAGGGGCTTATGATGGTTTATGTTTACTGCAAACAGTCCATGTTTTTTGGACTGTTTAATGATAGACATATCATGATAGATCGAATTGCTTAATGGGGTGAACATAAACCAACAAACATTATATACTGGGGGGCACACCACTAATATTTCACTACTTGTTTGTTCACCCCAAGAATCGGAATTGGCTTAGTTCACCCCAATTGAAGCTGGACTACCCCCCCCTCTTTCCCTACAATCCATTTATATACTCACCGGGATGAACCAGCGAGACCACGGAGTAGGGTTATGGATGTTTATGGTAGATATGTTCAGTGGGGATTGCCACCTTACAGTTGGCTTCGCCAAGGCTGCGCAAGTGCAAATTCTCCGAATGTCGCGAGGCCATAAAGGCCGGGCGGTGCTGATTCATGCTGATTCGGTCGAATCGTTGGGATTTCACGAATAAATGGGGTATATAACTATATAGTATTTAGGGATGTTTAGGGATGTTTAAGGTATATACATCACAAAAACATACAAAACGCTGGGGATTTCACCTTTTCAGGTGACCCCCCAATGCGGGTCACCTTGGGGGTTGGGCTCAGCTGGTTCCAGGCGAGCCAGTCGCTGCTGGAGGCGCAACAAAACCGTCGCCTGCGCGACCGGAGTCGCTTGGCCAGGAGGGTCGCGCAGGCGACGTGGGAAATTCGCCCTTTTATGGAGTTAGGACTACTTAGATGGGCCATGGAGTTAGTTAACTAGTAAATGGATAAACAAATTGGGATTGTTTGGGGGTAACAAACCCCCAGCTACTAACCAGGAATCGGGTTGTTCCCATGGCCCATCTAAGTACATGTCATGCATTCACATCTTATCATCTATGAAAATCCTGAAATGGGTGAATCTGAAAGTGGATTTCCCAGCTAAGAGAAACAATCATGGTAAATCATTGGGTTTTGGGGTACTTTATTTTCAGACATCCATATATCATTACTTAAAATGGATTCAAAAACTATAGTGTCTGAACACTTGTTCTGTGCTTCTGATTTGGGAGTTCACGTAGTCCATTCACCCTAATTGTTGAGATACCCCCCAACAAACCATGTTTGAATATCGGACCTATGCATTGTGACTTCCCGTTCAGGTAGTGTAAAGCAAATGATCTGAGGATGGGTTTCACGTGTCCAGCTGGTGGAGGAAAAAACTCATTGAGAACAGGATAATCATGGGTACCCCCACCTAGCAAACTGACCATCTAGGAAAAGCCTTTGTGACCTTACCATTAGTACTGGACTTTGGGGCCCACTTTGGGGTACTTATTTGTTTCAGACATCGCCCCATAGGGAGTCGTTTGAAAATGGCTCATCAAATCAGATTTATTCCTCGGACCTGCCTTGAAGGGGGACGCATCTCTGTGGCTTTTTCAAGGCATTGAGGAGGGTTTGTAAATTGACTAAGTGTTTAAGAGACATTAAGAGATGAATCAATGAATCTTGGTTTCCTCGAGTCATATCCCCCTAGTTTCAGGATGTTTCAGGTCCTTCACAGACTTGGTGCAGCAGCTGCCTTTGGAAGGGGCGCCAGCTGTGGTCGCCAACAACGTGGAGGAACTCAAGCGCCGTGGCAGATGGAGGATGGGGGCTATCTGACTATCGTAAACCCAGAAGCCAAAGATGCCAGACATTTGTGGATAATCTCCCCAGTTATTCCATCAACAGTTGGATGAAATAGCCCCTTTCAGGGACCCGCAAATGCATGAAACCATTTGTGGTGTGTTTGATGTGAACGGGGGATGGAATTTTGTTGGAAGCTAAGAAGGCCTCGTTCTTTAGATATTTAGAATCCTTATGAGTTTTTCCCAGCCCCAGAAACAGTCATAAAATGCACTCTGTTGCTGCTTGTTCCCTAGGGAGGGGTCACAACATATTTCCACTATAAGTATACTTATAGTTTCATATCTTATTGAACCAATTTAATGTGTTTGTCGTAAAACGTATATAAGATGAACAAAAATCAGCAGCTATAGTTATTTGGTGTTGGATTTGCTGAACATAATTCGTTGTTTTTCCATTTCCTAATGGTCCTAATTCACTATTTGGGGAACTGATGAGAACTGGCCATATATTTGTGTTCGCTGTGCCCTGGATTCCCTGAATCGCAAATCCAAGGAGTTGAAGAAACACGTAAATTCTCCCTTAAAAAGCATCAACAAGCTAAGATCAACGTGGTAGTAATATCATGTAATATCTATATCTATATATATATAGATTCATGTAGTAAATTCATATTTCTAATATTTTCTAATATCTATTCAGAAATAGTGATGTCACTGTTGCCACTGTCCATCAATGTGGTAAACGGTAAACAAAATAGGAGACAACTCCCAATATTACCATAAATGGGTAGTAAAACATGGTGCCGGCGCCTCTAAGGGTAGTTGTTTATGCCATTGGGTAGCAACCATCCCCAAGTCGCAGTTGCTTATGCCATTGGGTAGTTTACAGTACCACATTAAATGGCTTGCAGCCTATACAATCCTATACATATCCAACGTGATTAACATCTATTACAATGCTAATGTAAATGACTTGATGTTCATATTACTAATATGAATTAATATGTAAAATGCAATATCATTAATATCACATTGCTAATATGCATTACTATTTCTTACATGATTAATATGTATATGTATATGTAAATATATGTATATATATAGTATATAGTGCCAGATTGATTATTACTACTATGCATTGCTTTTTGTTTAGCTGAATCAGCAAAAGGTGGTGCCCCATAGTTGGCAAACTTGCTGAATAACTCCCATTTCACGGGGTTTTATGATTTATGGTAGCTATATCGCACGCCTGTAGTTCGTCGGGCTTCTAAACCATCTCCAGCCGTGCTCGTTTCAAGGCTCTGCTTGGTGCTTCGGGCCAAGAAGGACCGGCGGCTGCTGAGGCAGAGCAGCGAGGAATCAGGGCTCAAGAAACCACAGGGGCTCCTGGGCATATGCTTGGGATGTGGCATGTGGATATTTTTTTGGGAGTTGATGTCATTTTTGATCGTTGGAAGTCATCTCTTTTACTGTTTTTGACGTTTTTGTTTGATGTTTGGTGATATGTTGAATCGTCTCTGAACTAGTTTCAATGCCAAAAGCTCTGGGGAAACTCTGGTGAACCGCAATCTGGGATACAGACGAGCCATTTTTGCATTTGTTGCAATGCTGCAACTGGCTGATGGGGTATTCATGTGGTATTACCCTCTAGTAATTTAACACAACTGTGGGCAAATCACCATTTTTAGCAGGTATCATCTGTAAATGGGTCATTTTCAAGAGCTTGCAAGAGGGTGGATGGATAGATTGCCATGCATCATATCATACTGATGTACATCTTGACCCTCACATTGCCCACAGCTCTTGCTGTTAGCTTTCAATGTCCTTTTCTGGGTGGAGAGTGGTGGTTTAAATGGGTAGACAACGCCATATCATATTAATTATATTAATTCATATCATATCATATCCATATGAAACTTGTGCACCATATGGTTTCCGTTCAAAGGAAGGCGGTCACACTTTTTTCTCATTTATCAGGAGGGCACAAGTCTTTATAATGCCTTTCTGCTGACATATACAGTACTTATATCCTTTTTGTCATCTTCGTAGCGGTTCGCCTAAATCCCCACAGCGCTAGTTTCGCGCCAGCTTGGCGGTAGACTTTGTGATGCCACGGGAGCCCAGCATATGAAGTTCTAGGCTGTCTGAAGTTGATACCATGTATTTGCCACGGGTCATGTTGGAAAGCTGAGGTGCTTCAACCTATATAGCTGCATCCAAGTACGAAAGTCTTTGCAAAATCTCTTTATTGAGCCTTTAACATGACAAGTGTATACACATGTTATAAAAATCATAGAACCCCGTCTGAATTTGAATTATAGGATTTGGGTTTATCATGGCGAATTATCATCATGTTCCCTATTTTCATTGCCATTTGCTGGGTATCGCCGGGTATCGTCCTATTTCCGAAGACCCAGTTGGCGTTGAACCCAGGTTCTTCTACACCTTACGTCGGAGCTTGCTTCGTTTCCGCGCCCAGCGCCTATTGCGCTGGGTGCGCGTTCCCAACGCCGCCACTCAGTGTAGCACTAAGGGAGCGACAGATCGATGTTCCACTCTCCGGTCATACATAGTTAGTATATCATATCGGTATATCTAATAATATAGCTAAGTTAGTTCATGTCGAATAATATCCAATGAAATTCTAATGATATTTGGATATATTATTTAATTTCATCATATTTTATCTACAATAATATCTAATGAGAGTTACTGTTTGATCTCTAAAGTCAATGGGCCGGGGGTTTTTCAGTCAGCACATCACTGCGGGGACACCACCATGACCAAGCCATAGCAACCTCCTCACTGGGAAGTGCGACACTCTGAAATTTCTAGGGGAAAAAGCACCAATTGACCATCCTGGTTTAAGTAGAATACCACCTGGAAATACCATAGAAATACCACCTGGAAATAGCATAGAAATACCTGGAAACAGCATCTTTTTTATGGGAAAGTACAGTACTGTAGATAGAAAAGAAGGCATGTCACATTTTGGGAGCGTCTGGATCTGTCACCATCTGTCACCTTTCCATTGCTGAGATGATTTTTGGTACAATGTGGTGGTGCCTCATGCTTGGCTAAGTGGGTAACTAGCTGAAATATGGTTTATGGATGTTTATGGTGGAGATCTATCGATCTACCCTCTGGTAAACTAACATAACTATGGAAAATCACCATTTTTAATGGGTAAAATCAACTATTTCTATGGCAATTTTCAATAGCTATTTTGACATAACCAGAGGGTATCATGATCCATCGACTGTATCCTTCCACTCGGAGGGCTCATCAGCTGAGGCGAAGTTAGGGACCTCCAACCTCGTGGTGTCCTTGTTTTTCTTCATGCTGATACTCTTTGAAGGTCGGCATGCGCAACATCGGAAGATTGCTGGTGCATCTAAATATCGTGGATAAACCAGATGGGGGTCCAAGCAGCAAGCATGGGGTTCTACCATGTTCACCTCCATGTTCTAGCACCATCCTTACACAATACCTAGAAGGATACTGTAATATTTCTGGCTAGTGGATTCAAACTGAAACTTCGAAAAATCGAGAGGGAATGTGGGCAACCGAGAAAAGTATCTAGCTACCACTCGGACTGTTTTCATCCAGTAGGTCTTATCAATGACCAGGCTTGAACCGCCCAATAACCATCCTCCAGTAGAACTGTTTGATCGGAAAATGTGGCTCAAATCCCCCATGCAAATCCCTCAACCCCCTATAAATGGAGGTTAACATAGGTTAACGATTTACCTTGCTGGATTTCAATTTCAACATGTCAAAAATAAGACCCTACTTTGGGGCATCCATGGGCATACAGGTATGGCCTCGGTGATCTTGTGGAGCACCTTTAGCCGCCTTGAGATTGAACAGGCGAGGGAAGGGGCCGACCTTTTAGGGGACGGGTAAAAGGGGCAAGCAAAACATGGGAGATAGCACCATGCATACATTCATTCATTAATTAATTCATACATTCAGTCATTCATTCATACATTCGTTCGTTCGTTCGTTCGTTCATACATACATGCATGCATGCATACATGCATACATACATGCATACATACATGTACATGTACATGTACATGTACATGTACACATACATGCATGCATGCATGCATACCATAGTTACATACAGACACAGACACATTTATACATACACGCATACCATCTGGTAATCAAACACGGCTTGCTGGAACATCCATCATTTTTGATGGAGATGTTCCAGCCAGCAATGTTTGATTACCAGTTAGGTACTATAGTCAAAAAAAAAGGTATTCCCATATGTGTCCATCAAATCCCCATATTTTGTCCCAATAAGCCATTGAATACAGGAGGGTAATTTCACCAGTATCTCTTTGGGTTGCTTACAGTAGTGCACCCGATTCTATTTCTACGATATTCCCGTTGAGTGCTGATTACAGCAATGGTCAAATCCCATATATGTCCAGGTTATATAAATACTGATTATTATTTATATATTGCTTATTAATCATGATGATTACTGTACTAAGTCTCAATATGCATCAACGATGATACTCCTACTACTAATGATTCTTAATGGTAAAATATGGTACCCTCTGGTTATTTAACATAGCCATGGAAAATGGCCCATTTATAGATGATTTTCCCACTAAAACCTCCATTTATGGTTGGGTTTTTCCATGGCTATGTTAGTCATAACCAGAGGGTGAAATCCCATATTTTCACAACTGCTTTCAGTGCTTCCAGTGCTTCCATCATGGCGACGTCCAGGCCATTGGGCTCTGGATGCTGTTCCCCTCTCCCATGGCCCCGCTCTCCCCGTCCCTCGACGTCTTGGGCGGGATTTGCTTTGGCCTGTGGACCTGGGTAGAGCAACATTTTCTGACAGAAAATCTGACCAACCCAATATTCACTTACATAGGCCTGAAAAAAGGCCTTATATATGGTAGGTACCTCCAATTTAGGATCCTGGAATGGATGAATATCCAGTGATAAACCTGTCAGAACTCTGTTATCACTGGATATCACTGGATATTTCTGACATGATGAATATTTTCATGAATTCAGTGATATCCAGTGATAGCCTGACTTCTGACCACAGATATACTTCACAAGGTTTTAACGAATAAGCAATCAGAATGATTTGTAGATCAAAAATGCCATTGATAGTATATGATCAATATAGCTATGACATTGACGTATATGAATTAGTTCAGCGACAGTGTCACCATAAGATCCATCTGGATTAAGGACATGGATGTATCTTATGGTGGAAGGGAGAATTGGCAGGTTTCGGCCCTATTTTCAATGGCAAGAACTAGTTCCGGGTTTTATGTACCCTCTTGCTATTTCACAGTTTGCGATGGAATATCACACATTTCAAACACGGCATATAGATCATCATAAATCATCATAAATCATCATAAACCATCAATCATTGAACTAAATGGGCAACTTTCAATAGTTATGTTAAAGAAACAAATTGTCATTGTAAGATGTATGATAGATTGATGTATATTTTTTATGCGTTATAAGTTATATGTACATGCTTTGACAGGCGGATAGTGTTTCCTTCACTTGAGCAAGGAACCAAAATCATGAGATATGGCTGAAAAGCATCTCTTTCCTGGGGGCATCTAGCAGTTACTTGTAGCTACTTGCTGCTAGCACGCACTGAACCAAAGAGGTAGCTAGTTCAATATAATATTTATAAATGTATATCTAATATTTCCCCTAAATGCAAGCACCTTCCACAGAACCCCATGACGTTTACTCCTTTATCTGTCCGTTCCGGGGTCCCGTGTAGGGAGGAGTTTATGATCAGGAAGAGGGAAGTAGTGGTCCGGCGGTCCGGCCGCCTACCCTTACAGCACTTCTTGGTCTGTCTTGATTCCTCCTGGCTGCATAGAAATCCACTTTCCACTGCTTAACTTGATGAATAGATGGGCAAATCATGATAAAACCAATCAACAAACAGAAATAGCAGCATCATGCAGCATCTATTTGCCATTTGATTTGAGGATATCATCATCCCAATTTGGATACATTCGTTGGGTGTTATTCCTTCAACATTCGTTGCTCATAGCCCCGTGGTCCCTACAGTATATTTGCTTGGTGTTGAAAATATATTGAACATCACATGCTGAGGCCGAAATATTTCTTGTTGATTTCAAGAATTGGATTCTGGATGATGGGTAAAAAGTAAAACCCATCTAAAATCACCAGAAAAAACTGATTTCCTCTTTCCCCAAGACACCAATCCAATGATGGGATGGGACGCTTGCGAGGCTTATGGGTTTGGCTGCATTGCTACTGCGGCGGCCTTTGTTCTGTCGACTGCAAGCGCATCTGTCGCTCATGGCGTCTATCAACCTTGCGGTGGTGCCTCCAGCTGGATGGTGCTCCAGGATTCCCCAGGGGATGACCATAAGCCATACCCTCTGGTAATTTAACATAGCTATTGAAAATTGTCATTTATAGTGAGTTTTCCCAGTTTTCCCATTAAAAAAGGTGATTTTCAATAGCTATGTTAAATTACCAGAGGGTACTATATAAGCATGTTTTGACCATGGCACATATGGCCATTTTTTTGGTTGAAATATTCAAGCCACAGCTATGGGACAATATGGAGATACAAGCCATGAATTGGATAATGTATTGCTGATACTGCCCATCCAAAATGATGGATATGGGGGAACGCATCCATTTTTTTTTGCCCTAGATCTCTTAGAAATTGAAGAAATCCATGGCACCTGAGGGTCTGTTCTGCCTAGTGGTCCTAGTGACCATGAAGCTGATGGAGTAGGTGGAAAGAGACATCGGCAGGTTTTGACCCTATGTTCAAACCATGTTCAACGGCAAAAACCTGATTCGTTCTATGTTTTAAAAAATCATCAAGCTGGGTCAATTATAACGACCTCACTGCGACCGATCCCTGGAATCATGGTTAGCAAGGGAAATCACCCCCAAATGGCCTTAATTCAGATGAGTGAAATATAATGATTTACCCAGGAATCAAGTAAACCAGTCCAAGTTTCATGGTGGGGCGATGCCACACACCACATGTTCTGAAGCAGACCAGGTGGGCTTCACATATGGTCAGGAAGGCTTGCTGAAGCCATGTCTGGTCCTCTTCCTGCTCCATGTGGCTGGGCGATGTGCGCTTTGTTGGGAAAAACTGACCTGAAAATGTCGGAAATTTTGAACTCCGACACCCTTATCAAAATCCTGAAATCCATCGGTTCAGACATTGAGTTTAGATCATTTTACTCATTGGAACTGTCTTTCTGAGGTACTGCAGGTACCACCTAAATTGGGCAGACCACTTTGGGTCACTGGCCTTGACAATTTAGGGAAAACCACCTGAATCAGAACCGAATGGTTAAACACGCATAAAAAAACATGTTTCCCAATTAGAATTGCATATTTGGGGTGTTTACCGACCGTCTCCGGCCTTTGTTTTTGTTGTGTGTGTGTGGGGTTTTCACGCCATTATTCTCAACCTCGGAGTAGTAAACCGTTGCTGACAACCAGTAGGAGTCTGCAAAGTCTGCTACTAAAATGGCTGACCCCCAACCAGTCAAGAAAAAAACCAAGCTCATACTAGTTGAATATACACTTGAAATATATTCATCCACTATTCATCCCATTTTTTGTTGTGGACTTGGATTTGTTGTCTGAAGAAGCTTGTTTCACCGTCCCTAGCTGGGCAATTTTTTTTGGATTCTGGGACTGGCGCAGTTGAGGTGGTGGTGTGCTACTTTGCTGCCATCTATTCGGGCTTGGAGAGTCTTGGCGAAGATGAACATCCAACATGAACATGCAACGGATACATGATAATTACTACATGTACAACAGCTATATACACATGACATGTGAATTTTATATATATATATATGTATATATGATTTACTTAACCACGAACTACACATGATATAAATAGCCATGAGTGTTTATGAAATATCGATCACACCGTAGGAACAAGACACGACCTGCGAGCTGGACAACGAAGATATGCAGATATAGCCTCTGGTTATTCAACGTAGCTATGGAAAATGGCTCATTTAGTTCAATGATTTATACGATGATTTACCATTTTTTGAAAATTGCAATTTTCGATAGCTACGGTAAATAACCAAAGTTACAGGGGGTTAGATACCTAGTTTATTAGGGATTTCGGGATTACTATATCTCGTGATGTTAGGATTTTTAGGATACGTATCATAAATATGTTTTTCCGAAGAACACATTTTCTGGCAATCATGGCTGGGCTGGAAACTCCCGTATTCAAAGAGCTGTTCCAATGTTTTCATCCAGGATTTCCAGCCAGTTGTGGTCATTGCCAGCTCCAGTGTGCAGGATGTCAAGTGCTGACGTGCAATTGGCAGAAGATAGTGGAGGCAACCGGATTTTTTTTCAGTGATTCATCACTGGGGAGCGAAAGTTGGATCCTTGAGGGGTTCGTTTTTTCAGCTTTTTGTCATGAAAAAGCGTTCTTTGCTGGGTGAACGGGGAACCCGATTTTCTCCTGTTGATTTTTTCCCGAGAGCGTCTGAGCGCAGGGTTCTTCCAATAGTGGGGGTCTGTATCTCATCTTCTCATCTTCACACCTTCTCATCTTCACATCTGCTCATCTTCACATCTGCTCATCACATCTGCTCATCACATCTGCTCATCTTCACATCTTCACACCTGCTCATCTTCACATCTGCTCATCTTCACATCTGCTCATCTTCACATCTTCTCTTCACATCTGCTCATCACATCTGCTCATCTTCACATCTGCTCATCTTCACATCTTCTCTTCACATCTGCTCATCACATCTGCTCATCTTCACATCTTCTCATCTTCACACCTGCTCATCTTCACACCTGCTCATCTTCACATCTGCTCATCTTCACATCTGCTCATCTTCACATCTGCTCATCTTCACATCTGCTCATCTTCACATCTGCTCATCTTCACACCTTCCCATCTTCACATCTTCTCATCTTCACATCTGCTCATCTTCACATCTGCTCATCTTCGCATCTGCTCATCTTCACATCTGCTCATCTTCACATCTGCTCATCTTCACATCTGCTCATCTTCATCTTCACATCTTCTCACCTTCACATCTTCTCTCCTTTCTCTCTCCTTTTTCTCTCTCTCGCCTTCTTTATCTTTCTCTCTTTAGGCCGAGGGTGGTACCGGCGGTGAGTCACGAAACGTCAACCCTTTCGCACGAAATGAGGGTCGATCGGCAAAAACTGCAGTAAAATTGCGATTTTACTTGTCCTGGAGCAACCCTTTCACACGAAATGAGGGTCGATCGGCAAAAACTGAGGTAAAATTGCGATTTGACTTGTCCTGGAGCAACCCTTTCGCACGAAATGAGGGTCGATCGGCAAAAACTGAGGTAAAATTGCGATTTGACTTGTCCTGGAGCAACCCTTTCACACGAAATGAGGGTCGATCGGCAAAAACTGAGGTAAAATTGCGATTTGACTTGTCCTGGAGCAACCCTTTCGCACGAAATGAGGGTCGATCGGCAAAAACTGAGGTAAAATTGCGATTTTTCGTGTGCTGGAGCAACCCTTTCGCACGAAATGAAGGTCGATCGGCAAAAACTGAGGTAAAATTGCGATTTATCGTGTGCTGGAGTAATCCTTTCGCACGAAATGAAGGTCGATCGGCAAAAACTGAGGTAAAATTGCGATTTATCGTGTGCTGGAGTAATCCTTTCGCAGGAAAAGGGGTTTGTGTGTACGAGCGTTTCTGTGTAAAGATGTTTGTGTGTAAAAGTGTTTGTGTGTACAAGTGCATCTGTGTAAAAGTGTTGTGTGTAAAACCTTCTGTGTGTAAAAGTCTTTGTGTGTAAACGGGTTTGTGTGTACGAGTGTTTCTGTGTAAAGATGTTTGTGTGTAAAAGTGATTGCATATAAAATTGCATCTGTTTAAACGTGTTTGTGTGTAAAAGCTTCTGTGTGTAAAAGTGTTTGTGTGTCGGAGTGTTTCGGTGGAAAGATGTTTGTGTGTAAAAGTGTTTGTGTGTACAAGTGCATCTGTGTAAAAGTGTTTGTGTGTAAAAGCTTTTGTGTGTAAAAGTGTCTCTGTGTAAAAGGGTTTGTGTGTAAGAGTGTTTCTGTGTGTAAAAGCTTCTGTGTGTAAAAGTGTTTCTGCGTAAAAGTGTTTGTATGTAAAACCGTCTGTGTGTAAAAGCGTTTGTGTGTAGAAGCTTCTGTGTGTACAAGCGTCTGCGTGTAAAAGCGTCTGTGTGTAAAAGTGTTTGTGTGTAAAAGTGTTTGTGTGTAAAAGTGCCTGTGTGTAAAAGCGTCTATGTGTAAAAGCTTCTGTGTGTCAAAGCGTTTGTGTGTAAAAGCAGCTCCTGTGTGTAAAAGGGTCTGTGTGTAAAAGTGTCTGTGTGTAAACGTGTCTGTGTGTAAAAGTGTCTGCGTAAAAGCGTCTGTGTGTAAAAGCTTCTGTATGTAAAAGCTTTTGTATGTAAAAGCTTCTGTGGGTAAAAGCTTTGTGTGTAAAAGCCTCTGTGTAAAAGCTTCTGTGTGTAAAGCTTCTGTGTGTAAAAGCTTTTGTGTGTAAAAGCGTCTGTGTGTAAAAGCTTCTGTGTGTAAAAGTGTTTGCGATGCACACTATTGTCTTGCACTTCTCACTATTTTGTCTTGATACTCCTCTTCTCGACTGCCTATAACACATCTTTCATATATTGTTTGTAAAATTGTGTCTCCATACTAACAAGAGAAGACCCTGCTCCTCTACGCTCTCGGGCCATCCGTCGTCTAGTTTGATGGCAAACTAGATTTACCACCAGCAGACAGAAGGCTTGATATGTTTGCAGGGTGTCCAAGTTTGGTCATGCACGGAGGAAAAATTGGCTTGAGTTCGGAGAGTATTACTGTAATGTTTTGGGGTTAAGTAAAGTAAGTAAAGTATGTTGTGTTGTCCGTTTTGCATTCTTCCAGTGCCCCAAGAACTTGTACGTTACATATTGTATCATTGATTCGTGCGCGCACACGCAATACACAATGAACAAATACACGATACACAATTACAGATCTACACGCTGCAACATATCACTTTACATTACATCAAAAACACGCTACTACACCACAGTACACCACACTACACTACACTCCATTCCATTCCGTTATATTATATGAAATTCCATTATATTCCATTCCATTGAGACATACACAGATACATTGATACATAGATACGTATATAGCATCCCAGAATTGATTTGTGAAATCATTTGTTACGGCAAGATATTACGTATGACATGGCCATTGTTGGCTACATTATTTCCCTTGCAGGATGGTTAAACTCAAACAGTACCACCCAAGTTTTGTGCTTAACCCTCTCCTATTCCTCTATTATCCCATATTATCCCATGAATATCATACTTTATGATTATATCAACTATATATCCCACTATTATTGATTGGGTTAACCTTTAAACCCTTGTTAATATTGTTTGGGTAAATTATAGTGACCTGACCTCACTGCGACCTCACTGGAATCATTGTGAATGTATAGGGGAATCATCCGCAAATTGCCGCATGAATCAGATGAGTGAAATGTGGTAAAACAACCCAGATATTGTGAACATTGTGAACTCCACAGCTTTTCGGTTTCACCACGAGGTGATGCTTCCCTTCAATCCCTACGTGAAAGCAGTGCCCCCGCGCCCCGGAGCTCGCTGCGGCCTTTGCCGCGGGAACCGCATGCGGAGAACGAGGGGATCTGCATGGCGCTGTGGCCGGGGAGCCCGGCTACCTACAAAGTGGGGCCCCCAAACGATAGCTAAGTAGGTTAATTAATCACTCCAATTATATGGTTTATAGTACTTATAGCTTATAACAATAGTTACCGGGGATTATAAACAATAACTTATTTAACTTCTATCCAACTTTTTGATCACATGAGCCACCGCAAACACCCCGGCAATACTAAACATGTAAGGGACGGACATTGGCTTGTGGAAATTTATGGAAATTGTTAAAAACACGAGGTAGGCGATGGGACCTTTCCAAATTAGCGATACCCCCTTCAAGGTAATGTCATTTTGAACATTGATTTCTGACGTCGTTTGTAAACCAGATTTGGGCCCACGAGGGTACATGCTCCTCAGAAAGTGTTCTTCTTGATATCCATGGAGTGGTCTGCAGAGAACGGAATCCGCAGAAGCGGAAGCCAAGTCCCTGCAAACACGTTTGTTTCACTAGCTGCCTGCACATCCTTGCCTTGCATGTTTTCATTGACTCTCCACTTGAACTTGCGCCATTTCGATTGCCTCTCCGCTGACTTTATCTCCCCGCTGCTGTTGTTTAGTGAAGCTTCTTTGTGACACTGACACATTATTGTCGTTGCTGAAGAGTGTTTCCATTGACCCCCCCATGTGAACTTGCACTGTTTTGCTTGCCTCTTTTCTGACTCTCTGCTGTTGTTTCAGAAAGCTGCTTTCTGGCAGAGCACTGCAGTATCAACAGATACCAAATTTGGAAAACCATGAGGTGAATTTTAGCGATGCCCTAGCGATACCCACGCGATATCACTTTTTCTGTTCCAGACACCCAGGTGCACATCAGTCTGTGACACATTCAGGTTTTCTGGTGGCAAGCTGGATAGAGATAGCTAGATAGATAGGTAGCCAGCTAGCCAGCCAGCTAGCTAGATAGATAGAAGGTAGCTAGCTAGCTAGCTAGACAGACAGACAGACAGAATCAGACAGACAGAGAGACAGACAGACAGAATCAGACAGACAGGCAGACAGACAGACAGACAGAATCAGACAGAATCAGACAGACAGACAGATAGATAGAGATAGATATACTGGCATTCTATCTGTCATTCTTTCTGGCAAAGGTTCGAGTGGCTGTGTAGAGGCTGGCTGTCCATACTGGCGGTGGGGAAAAAGAGATTTGCAAAGCACCTCTTCCAGCAGCACCTCCTCAGATAGCTCGGAGTCCTGCAGCGCAGATGCCTGATCAAAAAGGAAGCACAGCCTCCGCTCTGGAGTCAAGTAGATCATTCATTTTCCTGCAAGCGATACCCCCAAGTTTGCCATATCTCATTTTTGTGCAAACCTGTGGTAAGCCATGGGACCTTTCCACATTTGTGGATGTCCATTCCGTGAACCTAGGGTTTTCGAAATTGCTCACATACAACACTACACACTATAGGATGGAAGTATATAATATAATGATATACCCAAAGGAACATTAAAATAAACATCTCATATATGCCAGTCTACCCCAATCCAATGTTTCTGCCCGTTTTCCCAGGAGATCCCCGGCGCGGCCCCACGCCGACTCGGTGGAATCCGACGTGGGCGGCGCCGCCGCGGAGGCTTCGCCCTTCTGACGACCACGCCGATGATGGCGACGCCGAGGGCGACGAATCGCGGTGGGGACGCGTGACGTCGTGCAGGACTCATCGGGTGCTGGGGTTACCCTCCAGGAAAAATCCCGATGAAAAATTGAGAATTTTGGGAAACTATGGGATGATATCGAGAAATAGATGGGAAAACACCCGCGAAGAAAATGAAGGTTTCTAGCTGGGAAATTCATCAGGGATTTTCATGGATTTTCCATTGCCGTGTTTAATCACTGGAGGGTAAGGGGAGGATATATGGTTTCGGGTCGCTTGAAAAAATGACATTAATTAACACAAATTCCGCGAAAAAACTTTTCAGAATCGACGTTTCTTTCTTCTCCCTCTCCCCCACCACAAAAACACCATCCAGGTGTGGCCCTGCAGCTGGTGGACAAGGTGACGCAGCTGGCCCATGGCGACGAGAGATGCGGCACGAAGAACTGTGGTGAAAAGAGATGCGCGGAGGGTTGGGGGGGATAAAGGCACTATGGCCACCAGGTTGGCGAAAGACTGCTAGACGGGAGATTAAGCGTGTTAAACCCCTTCTGGATCGGTAAAACTGGGAAAATCTGATAAATTTGTTGGGAATACCTGAGCTGTACAAGAACGAAAGATTTGAATCCTGGGGGTTCATGAATCCAGATAGCCAGTAGCAACTTGCCAATGGATGCAAATGGACAATAAGAATATGGGCAAAAAACAATCAAGAAGCAGTTTGCCAAGTCTATGATTTGTAGTAAACAAGCAGATGAACATGAGAAAAATAGGTGTGGGAGCGCCAGGAGGCCCGGCAAGACTTAATGTTTATTGCCCACAGGCACACAATCCTATTATGTATTTATGTGTTTTTAAATAGTGTAACAATGTGGTAAACCCAATGCCATAAACCCCCAAATGATATTTTTTTTTATGAATTGGATTCCGGCCATCCCCAAATTGTAGTTGTTTACGGCTTTTTGTTTTCCCACATTACTAGGTGATGCAATTATCCTGTTCCTATATTCCACACATGCTTACTAATTCTAACGTAAACAAACATATGGATCTGATATCCAAAAACAATTCTCCTAATGACATATTATCAATTATTATCAATTAAATGATCTTAACATTATCAAAAAATATGACAATACTGTTATTTATCCATACCTTATGGTTGTTGTTCACATCCACCGTTTGGATCTCTCCGAATTATCCACGGTTCAAAGCCGCCAGGTCAGCCAGCTGGCAACGACACCTCGACCAAGGCACCAACGATGATCACCAAATGGGACATCTAAATTACATCAACAATAATGGGTGAGAATATACATTGATAAATCTATGAATAATTTTGAATAATCTGTATACATATGATAAACATATGTCTATTATTACAAATTACCATTCTTACACCAAATGTGAATAAGTGAATAGAAAGGGTGTTTCCCCGTAGATGAAGTAGTGAGGTCTATTTTCAGACGACTGACCAAGTTCACATCGCATCTCAGAAGGATATCCTCGAATCCTTCCAGTAGTGAAACCTGGGTGGAAAATCAGTTATTTCCTGGGTCAACGTTGGTTAGACACTTCCTTTGCTTTTTATGATCTTTTGCTATCAATGGTAAGGTGTACTAACCGGCTATATTATATATATATAAATATCTAGATTTCTGGCAGGTATCCAAGATTCAGCATGTTCGTTCAATCCTCTTTCCCATTCATATCCCAAAAACATTTCCCAAAACTTGGGATGATCATTGGAAAGGAACCTCTACAGGAAAACCCAGCCTTCAAAATCTCAATTTACGACGCAGGAGGTGCACTCCCACATCAGGCAGCCGGGAGGTTTGACTGGGAAACTCCATGAAGATACCCTCTGGGAAAACGTGGCCGGCTGGAAAATCCCCGAAATGCGGGTGTGGCTTGCTGGAAAATCATCGAACTAAATGATGGTTTTTCGATTGCCTGATTACCGGGACTTTCCATCTATGAACGCGGGATTTTCCAAGATCTGGTAAGCTCAATGGGAGAATCATGGAACCAAATGCTGGATTGTCCGTTGCCATTTTTTTGGGGGGGAAGGGGTTGGAATGCGCTTTTTACCCATATTAACTCGCCCATGTTCATGGGCGAGTTTTGAAGTCAAGATGGATCGAACTAAATTGGAACATGGAAAGTCATAACTTTTGGGTGAAGTTCTCTTTCGGTATGGCCGATTTTTTGCCTTTCGTACCCTTTCGTAATAGATGCGGAATGACGCGTTGCTCAGAGGCTTGGCAACACTGGCCTTGCCAACACAGAGGCTTCAAACCCACGCCAAAACACCTAAATTTACACGTGGTTTTCAGCTAGAATCCAAAGCTTGTCCTCTAGGAACCAAACATGGCAACGGAACCTCCTCCTTTCGAAATCGAACATTATCTATGAAAGGGGCCATAGGCTATTGCATTTCAAGGTTTGGCTACCAAAGAGAAAAAGGAAACCTGTTTGATCTTCCCCCATAGGTCACCCCGCTAATTGTATAGGCTTAGATCATGGTGAACTGTTTGCAGCGGTCGGGTCCCTTATGGGTCAGGTCTATGAAAATTTACCCTGAAGCATTGCATGGTTTGCTGGAACATGCTCCATCTGGTTGGTGGTTTGGAACATGTTTATACATTTTTTATTTTTCCATATATTGGGAACAATCATCCCAACTGACTAACCGAAGGAAGTTTAGAAGTCAAAATTCCGACAATATGGACAGATGAAAATCAGAGATGGGAAGAGTCCGAGAGAAGAGAAGAGTAGAAGAGAGAAGATCAGAGAAGAGAAAGAGTCAGAAGAAAGAGGATGCAGATGCGCGAAAAGGTAGGAAAGTCGCGAAACACTGTGTTTTTCCAATGATTTGTGGCTCCGGAGGGTCGAAGAGTAGGCTCGCTAAAGCGGCGGGTGCGGAGCCAGCTTGCCAGATGAAAGATGAAAAATTGCACGCCGTTGTGGCGCGAAGGACATTTCGAAGTCAAAATGTACAAAGCACACCATGCTCGGACCACTTTTGGAAGTTGAGATGTCGAAAAAGTGCACGCTGTTGTGGCGCGAAGCACATTTCGAAGTCAAAATGTACAAAAAACTGACAGGCACGGAGCACTTTTGGACGTTCAGATGTCATTTCACGTGGCAGGCGCAAGGGATTGTGCACCTTGTGAACAGTTAGCAAAACATGAGGGATTTGTAGCATTTCCAAAAAGGATGGCAGGCGTGGGACATTTGAAGAGGATCTGCAAAGATGCATTTTGCGTGGCAGGCGCAGTACAAAAGACATGTTCATTAGAGATGTTAGGAGGTCAGGGCACTGATTTCCTGAGAGGGGTTGCATTTTGGAGCATCAGATCTGTAGGTTTGCTAAGATGATTTTGCGTGACAGGTGCAGCACTGGCAGGCGCAGTACTTTAGAGAGGTGGACTGGAAAAAACGCAAAACGCATTGGTACGAGGCTGTCAGCTCTGCACTCAACTTTCCATTTTTGAAGGAAGTCTCGCAGAATTCATTCAATTTTGATGTTGTCAAATTCGCAAAATGAGGAAGTCTCGCAGAATTGCTGCGTTTTTTGATGTTGTCAACAATGAAAAATGAAGAAGTCACGCAGAATTGCTGCGTTTTTTGATGTTGTCAACTTTGCAAAATGAAGAAGTCTCGCAGAATAGTTCGGTTTCCTAGGTTGCAGATAGACAGATAGATAGATAGATAGATCGATAGATCGATAGATCGATAGATCGATAGATCGTAGATAGATAGATAGATAGATAGATAGATAGATAGATAGATAGATAGATAGACAGAGAGATAGATGGATAGATGGATAGATGGATACATGGATAGATGGATAGATGGATAGATGGATAGATGGATAGATGGATAGATGGATAGATGGATAGATGGATAGATGGATCGATGGATCGATGGATCGATGGATCGATGGATAGATGGATAGATGGATAGATGGATAGATGGATAGATGGATAGATAGATAGATAGATAGATAGATAGATAGATAGATAGATAGATAGATAGATACATAGACAGACATCTAGATAGATCGATAGATAGATATTTGGATAGATAGATAGCCAGCTAGATAGATAGATACATAGATGGATAGCAAGGTTTGCAGCAGTCTTCAGCGGTGGATGTTGCTGCTTGGCTTGAAAGACCTCAAAGAAAGAGAAGAGACATGGAATTTGTCTAGCCGTTCCAAAGTCGACACTTCGAAAAGTTGGATTGCGTTTTGTCTGATCTATCCCGGTGACGTGGCGGGAAGATAGATAGATAGATAGATAGATAGATAGATAGATAGATAGATAGATAGATAGATAGATAGATAGATAGATAGATGGATAGGTAGGTAGGTAGATAGATAGATAGATAGTTAGATAGTTAGATACTGTAGTTAGATAGACAGATGAGAGAGAGAGAGACAGAGAGAGATAGATAGATAGATGGATAGATAGATAGATAGATAGATAGAAAGATAGAAAGATAGATAGAAAGAAAGAAAGATAGATAGATAGAAGGATAGAATAGATGGATAGATGGATAGATGGACAGATGTATAGATGGATAGATAGATAGACAAATGGATAGATAGATAGATAGATAGATAGATAGATAGATGGATAGATAGATAGATAGATAGATAGACAGATGAGAGAGAGAGAGAGATCGATAGATCGATAGATCGATAGATCGATAGATCGATAGATAGAGCGGTAGGTAGGTAGGTAGGTAGGTAGGTAGATAATCAGAGAATGAGAGAGAAAGAGAGAGAAAGAGAGAGAAAGAGAGAGAAAGAGAGAGAAAGAGAGAGAAAGAGAGAGAAAGAGAGCAACAGAGAGAGAAAGAGCGAGAGAGATCAATCACCTTTCAGTCCATCAGTGGCTTCGCTCTGCCATCCGTGATTCACAACAACCAACCTCTCCTACACGTTTCCTATTTTTGAAACTTTCGCCACTGCCTTGTGCGGTACT